TGGGTCGGGGCAATCCCAAGCACAAGGACAGGCTGGGCGGAGAAAGGATTGAGAGCAGCCCAGGGGAGAAGGACTTGAGAGTGCTGGTCGATGAGAAGCTCAACATGAGCTGGCAATGTGCGCTGGCAGCCCAGAAAGCCAACCGTATCCTGGGCTGTATCAAAAGAAGCGTGGCCAGCAGGTTGAGGGAAGTGATTCTGCCCCTCTACTCAGCTCTCGTGAGATCCCACCTGGAATACTGTGTTCAGCTCTGGGGCCTCCAACACAAGAAGACATGGAGCTGTTGGAGAGAGTCCAGAGGAGGGCCACGAAGATCCGAGGGCTGGAGCACCTCTCCTGTGAAGAAAGGCTGAGAGAGTTGGGGCTGTTCAGCCTGGAGAAGAGAAGGCTCCAGGGTGATCTTATTGCAGCCTTCCAGTACCTAAAGGAGACCTACAAGAAAGCTGGAGAGGAACTTTTGACAAGGACATGTAGTGATAAGACAAGGGCTAACGGCTTTAAAATGAAAGAGGGCAGATTTCAATTAGATATAAGGAAGAAATGTTTTACAATGAGGGTGGTGAAACACTGGAACATGTTTCCCAGAGAAGTTGTGGATGCCCCATCCCTGGAGGTGTTCAAGGCCAGGCTGGATGAGGCTTTGAGGAACCTGATACAGTGGAAGGTGTCCCTGCCCATGGCAGGGGGTTTGGAACTAGATGACCTTTAAGGTCCCTTCCAACCCACACCATTCTATGATTCTATTATCAAAAGATACTTTGATACATAGCCATTTGCTTCCTTTTCAGGTGGCTGTGTTTGATGTCTCTGATTTGCAGTATCAAGTCTTTTTTTGATGCTATTTTTGATATGTATTTGGAGCACTGAGACAAAATAATTTTTCTAAGCGTCCACTGTTGAGAATGAGAAGAATTGCAGTAGCAATTGCAGCAAGTACCTTTTTCTTCCCTTCTTGTGTATGCTTTCACTTACTGCTGTTACAAAATGTATGACATGTGCAGGCATGCCAGTGGAAGGTTAGTAGGGAATCTGTACAGAGTCTGTGGGTGGCATGCACTTTTCCCCAACAATTCAAGACCATCTGCCTCTTAAAAAGTTATTAGAAAAATACATCAACTTAAGGGTAAGTAAGTATAATGAAATAAAGTAAGTCTGAAGTCTTTACTCTCTCTTCTTCCCACATAAGATCTCACGAATCCTTGTTGAGGATCTTGCATAGTACTCTGTTGAGAGATGCTACTCTTACACTTGCCAGTACAGGCAAACACATGCCCTGCGTTTTTGTCAAAATGTTGGATGTTAACAAAGAACCCTGTTTAAACTGTTTATGCTAACAATGGTTCACTTAGACTGAAATGATTTAGGAAGCAATTCCACTAAAAGGTCTAGAAGAAGTGCTAATCCAATTGGCAGGCAGTGACAAGCAGCTGGGTGGCGAGTGGTCAGTAACCTTTCCTCCTGTCACAGCTGCTTCAGAAGACTTCTCTGCCCAGCAGCGTTGTTGGGAACTGCACCTTTCAGAAGCTCACCAGGCATTTGAATCCATTGCCTCTACAGTGGTTTGATTCACAAGCACCTAGCAACAGAAAAGGAGAGTCTGGAGTCACTGGGATTTTGAACTGTAAGAAAACTTTAGAAGTTCAATCCCATTTTCTCATCCTTATCATTCAAGTTTTATTTGATATATTTCTGAAAGCGCATACATTTGGTAGTGTTAAAGCATGTATTCTTATACGTAAATTGTTCACAATGACGTTTCTTCATATAAGAGTCACAGAACAGTAAAAATTGAAACCTTCATAACCACTGAGCAATGAATTACCTGTTACTTTCATACTATGTCCACACAGAATCCCTCATGCTCTCTGGAACGATCGTTAAGAATTTGATCACAAGATAAAATAAAACCCTCTTTCTTCTGGGTTTATATTTACTTACCATCAGCATTCTAATATGAGATTCTGTTGATCACAAGACACAAGAGGAGGAGATGAAAGTCCTCTGAAGATTATTTTACTGGAATTGCAAACTTTTCTACTCATGTTTGATTCCTTTCTTAAAAGCATTAGTTAAATAAAGGAAGGGAACTGCAGCATTTTTTAAAAACCTCTCCAAAGTCATGCAAACCATGCAGGAGAGTTCTACAAGAGCCAGCAAACACAATATTATTATGTCTTTGATAGGAAATCTGATTATTACATTTTAATTTCAGGTCTACACCATTCAGAGCTTTTCATAGACCTTGATTTGTCTTTCTTACATGCAGAGTAATGATCCTAAGAGTAGTTATGTAAATTCATTAAACTCATTTTCCTATGGAAGGTGCGCATTTTATTGAGGATTTGTGAAGAGCTGACATGGCCATTGTTCATCAAATGAGTATGTTGCTGTTCTTGGTATGTTTCTTTTGTGTTCATAGCCAAATCATGAAACTCAGCAACTTTGATGTATCTTCTTTGTTAGGCAGTAAGTCAATGCATACTCTTCCAAAACGTGTTACTTAAAGTGACTTTGGGTCTTCTCCTTATCGAATATTATAAGGGCCAAGCATACATTCCTTTGAGTGATGTGGTATTTTACAGACTTTAAGAAGAAAAGGCCAGCCATCCTCAAAAGAATCTAAAAGCTTCCTTACAAGTTAAAAGAAAAAAACTTACAGGTCTGCTGTCTTAGCTGAAAAATCTTGCAAATAGACACAGAAAAGAGGCAGTGTAGTGTTTATCAGACTGGATGAAGCCCTTACTCGGAGGGAGCATTGCAATGTGACCTCAAACTTTTCATCTGTGTGCGTGTAGTAATTCCCTTCCATTGTCTTTCCAACCTCCGTTGGAGAAATTGATTGCTCGACCTGACCTGAGGGAAAATGATGCCTTACTACTAGTTCTTTACTAATGAATCTTTTCCTTTACTTTAGGAAATATTTTAAGAAAGTAAGTATTCTAAAATGTTTTGGATGGAAACTTCATGTTGGTAGTCATACCTTGGTGTTGAAGCTTCAACTTGTTATCAGTTCACATTTAGTATATTACTTTGAATGAGTCACTGATTCTGAAAAACTTGAGGGATTTGTTGTAAGAGGGCGAACTGCATTTTTTGTGTTGTGGCTTGATTTGCCTAGTAATGCTAGTGAGCGACACTGTACTTTTTGCCAGAATGAAATATGTTATTTCCACGGACAACAAACTTGATCCACTATGTCTCATGGTTCCGCTCAAGGTAGTTCTGATGGATCTTAGATGGAAATCTTACTGTTTTAACTCTTCTCTTGTAAAGGCTTTCCTCAACGTGTAATGCTTTCTCTTCAGTTTTGGTTTTGTTGTTTTGGTTTTTATTCAGCTAGAATAATTAATGACTGTTAACTTCCTCTTTCTATATAATTCTTTTTTCATATTTGTGAATCAAGGATATGCTCCTATAGTAATTGTATTTTTCTCGTATTTTTTTCCATCGTTCACTTTTCACAGGGAATTTATTTGTTAATGATTTGTGTAGTTTTGGAGTATAAGCATTGGATCACATTTTTCCCCTTATACCAATTCTGCAGTTTTGTACTGTAAAAATATTTCTAGCTCAGCAGTTTTAAAAATGTATATAACATCTGAGTGTAGCTAGTTTGTGGTGTCAATGATACCTATGCATCATAATGTGGTTAAACTGATATACCCAGATGTTGTGCTTTTTTTTCTGATGTAGTAGTTTATTTACACTGCAAAATATTTCCATCTTCAATTCTTCGCTTCATATCAGCTGTTCTTGCAGAGCTTCACCAAAAAAACCCCAGTTCTATTCAAGAGAATCTGAATGTCTCTTTATATTTGGGCCAACAACGAGAAGTTTTTACAGCTATAATTTCAAACTTTTTGCTGAGATGGGCTTTACAGGAGAAAGGAACTGAATGGTAGAGCAGAAACCTCTAATCGAATATAGAGTTACAGACCGATTAATTTATTTTTAATGGTGTTATATGGCCTTTCATAATGAATCGAATTGAACATGCTTTGTTAGACACTAGGTTTTGCTTACTTCAAACATACAGATCTTGGAAAACATAGAATTGTATTAATTAATTTCAACTTGAATTCCATCCAAAAAACCATAAATATGTGGCGTAAGTTGTGTATGGTTTTACCCTGTAACCATTGCCAGGTAAGATTTGTGATGAATGTCTTTCTGCACCAGTGTTCCAAGGTGATTTAAAGCACCTATGACCTGCTGTAACTACCTGATTTAAGAAGAGATCCCTGAAGCAAAGAATGAGGGAGGAGGGAAAGTTTTTCATCATCTTATTAGTTGGTGATTTGAAAAAAAGTGCTGCTCATTGATAAGCATGAAATGCTGATGAGAATCTAATGAGGTGTTCACATTGTAGACTCAGAGAGCAAGCCACAGACAAGCATTTTTATGTAAAGACAGAAATATTAGAATATTCTTGTCCGTGTTATTTTTACATAATATCATGAATAAAATAAAAGGTAAACAGTAGAGCTTTATTCAAGATGTGTTTTGGAAGAACACTTTCCTGGGAACCTTAAGAATAAAAAAAGAATAAAAAAGGAATAAAAATGGAGCTATGTAATGAGTAGGAGAAGGGTATGCTCTTTTGCGGAAGCTGAATCTGATACTAATCCATTTCAGCATTTTTATTAATATAGGCAGTAAATAACATTTACTAACAGAGTGATTTGGAAGTCCTGCCATCCACAGGTATACCAAGAAACCAGAAAAATCAAAGTAGCAAAGAAAATGTTTAAAAAAAATTGGAGAACCATTTAGAATTATCTAGGGAATAATTAAGTAAAATTAAGAAATAAAGAAAAATGAGTTTAATACTAGGACCAACTTGAATTGAGCACATATGTAGTATCTAAAGAGACAAGATTATGTACAGTTCTTCATGAAAGATATCAAAAATGAGGAAAATAATTGTTCTATGCTCTCCTAGTAAGAGTTGTTACGTCAGGTGTCTATGTTGTATATAATCTTTCTGTGTTTTTGTACAGGAAAAACATAAGCAGGAATTAGAAGACATGAGAAAAGCTGGACATGAAGCCTTGAGTATTATTGTTGAAGAATTCAAGGTAAATGAGTTGTCAACATAACACAATTCCCAAATAATTTTATTGTAATAATATATAATAAATATGCACCACAGGCAGTTGTCTTCTGTACTGGTTGTTCTGGTTGCTCAATCTCTTTCACTTTAACACCATCTTTTGCGTTGCTTGTAGTTCCAATTCCAAACTGTTTGGCTTGAAATTTTGCATGACATATTTTCTCACTCTGCACTTTGGGAAACTTCAGATAAAGTAGGTTAGCCATTTTCAGTAATGAAACTTAAAACTAGAGCAAAACAAAAAGGCTCAGTCAATTGTGGTAAACTTTGGGTTTGATTATTTACCATATATCCACGTTTTGGACCTTGTCAGTCTCAACAAACTGCACTTGCAGGAAAGCAGCCTTACAGAACAATTCAGCAGGCTTTTATCTACACAGCACTAAGAGGAGTTAAGGATGAAATAAGGCTGAATCTGTAATAATCCCAGCCAGTCAACAGCCACTGGGAAGATCTGATGTGCCATCTGGAAAAGAGGATTTGTGTTTATCAATTTCTATGATTTGGCACAAGAGATTAGGGATTTAATTGAATACTGTGCATCTAAGCAATATTTATATTTAGCATATTATTACTCATAGACTGTTTATATTCAAGTTATATAAAGGCATTCTTTAATACCAGGGAACCATGGCATGAATATACTTCATACAAGTCTTCCTATTGCCTCATTTTGTTTCTGTTGTGGTTAGTTGTCATATTTTGGTCAATGAGATCACAGTACTCTGAGGAGAAATAACATCAGATATGTCAGTCTCTGAGTAAAATACTGCAACTGACCTTGTCTGTAAACATGCAGTGAGTTATTCTTCGAGGTAGCAGGAAAAATCAAAAAAGTTTGTTAGGTTTAAATAAGTTAAGCTTTTTTTGGTCGTTTGTTTATAGCTTAAACACCTTTTTAGCAACCCTTTGCCACATACTTAAAAAAAAAAAAGGAGTAACAGTGAATCATCAGAGAATCCAATGAAGGCAAAACTGTTCTGTAGTTTTGTTTAAGAAAATAATCTCATGGATTCTTTTAAAATGTTAATTCATAGTTAGTATTTTGATATGGAACAGGATTAAGTTTTTTTTTTTTCCTCAAGTAAATGAGTCAAATGTGGTTTTGTAATTCTACAAATAATATTTTACGTTTTGAAGACTTTTTAACTACTCATATCTTTAGGAATTTATTTTATTTATCAGACAAGTTGGAAATTAGTAGTCAGATAACCAAATTTAGGAGTCCTACATACAAGAATTGTTTGAGAACATAAAGTAAATCCAATTAGTCCTTTTAGTGAAATGTAGAATTGTGGAATTCATTGACTCTCTTAATGCACTTATGATTAGCCATGCTTCATTTTGTGCTGAAATATGTCGTCTTTGGGATTTAATACTATGTTCCACTAATACATGCCATTTATATGCAGAAGTGACTTCCATTTTCAGTAGGTTTTGTAAGTACTATCTAATTAAACCCCAAATTACCTTGAGTGTTGAAATTCACCTAAGCAAATCTACTGAATTGTTTAAAAGGCATAGGAAGGAAAATCTTTCTTACGATGAATACAGTCCTAGTTTGCATTCCTTGGGTTTTAATAAAATAAACTGATGCAGATTATTCCAATCAAGTGCTTGCTCATGGCCCAAATTAGGTTGTGTTGTAGTCAGGACTGTTGGAATTATGATTAATCCTCTCTGATACCAGCCAATTAAAATTTTGTAATGGCACTCCAAGCAGAGTTGTAGCATGAGTGAATGTGATACCTGACATTGGTTGTTTAAGAATAGCTATGTAAAAATATGAACCATTTATCATTAGCCTCTGAAAATAACCCCCAAAATCCCTCATGGCTCAAATCCTCTAAATTAGGTGTTGAAACTCTGGGTTGAACAACAATGGAAAAGAGTTGACTACTTGCCTGTTCTGTATTTCTGGTGTAATAAATCTTCCTACTGGTAGAACTGTGGAAGTGCCTTTCTTTTGGCATACAAAGGAAAGAGAGTTGCCATTTTTTCACTTCCGTCTACTAGGTTGCCAAGTTAGTAACCAAAAGTTCACATTTTTCTTACATTTAGAGCTCATTATTACTCCTCTGAGATCTACTGCAGCAGACTTTTGTTGTTGTTTTATCTTTCTACACTTGAAAATGAGTTACGCTTTCTGATAATCACACCTCTGTATTTTGGGGCATTGTTTGTTGTAAAAAGGACAATATTTCTCAAAGTCGATCTTTCATTAAGTTTAAGACCAAACCCTCTGAATTCCTACCCTTGTTGTGACTGGTCCCTTTTAATGTGGCAACAGTGTCGAAAATGGAGCTTACACAAGAAGTCAAATACTGAATGATCTCGTTTCAAGGTCTGGAGTATACCAAAGGCCTTAAAATTATTGCAGTTGTCTTTGGAGTATTAGCTTGCCAAACATGTTGGGAAATCCATTAACAGAGACCATTAGACACTTTGTAGCACAAACCCTCAAAAACCTTGGCCATTGTTAAGCATCTCACATTCTTATCTTCCTTTCAACAAATAAACCATCTTCAACATAGTCACGAAATTTGTATTAAAAAACATGGGAAAACAAATTAAAAATGAACTTAGTGTTCATTGTAGGCCAAGTTTCCCCTTGTGTTTACCTAATTTTGTTTCATTTCTGTCTTTCATGTCATTATTTTTTTAAACTTTTATCCCTGGTAATTAACTACAGTAAAGAAAAGTAAATGTAGATCTTGGAAATTATGCTTGTGGGATCATGTCACATTTTAAGATATTTACCACAAGCAACATAAGGATTTTTCCTCTGCTTGTTTAATCAAGCTTTTGTTCTGAAATTGTCATAGTTCTGTAAATAGATGAGTTAAGATTTTTAATCTGTTTTGTTTATATTTCTCAGCATATAAAGTATCCTCTAATGTAAGCTTTAAAGAATATGAAGTTGCAGGCAGGTGCATTTATTTGATGGTATTTATTTACTTAGATTATTTTATGCAATTATTAGTCTTCTAAGAGCTTGCATGAATCAGATGTGTGTTTCCTTTTGTGGAAACTAACTTCAAGATGCAAAGTCCTTTCCAGCCCTTCCTACAGTGAGAGCTTTATCTGTCAGTATTCAGTGTTAGGTGGTTGTTTTTTTTCCAGCTTTCCAGAATGTGCTAACGGACAGATTTGCAAAGTACGGGATATGTGGGGGCCATCAGATTGTCTTTCAAAAATATTTGTGTCAATAATAGACCTCTGAACTGAAAGGTTACTCTCTAATAAACAAAGGAAAATTTAAAAGATTTCATTACAAAAGAAGCTTATCTAGAATCAGGATATCTTTTTTTAGACATAGTTTATCCCTAGTGAGGAGGGAAAACTCTTGAATTGTGGCCAGTTCTCAACTCTTTAAAACACCAGCTTAGCTTATTAAGTTTCCAAGATGACATATTGGCTCAGAAAGGCCTGACACATGAATAAAAGGATAAATTCAAAAGTTGCAAAGGTTTGTATTTCACTTCCAACTTCTATACTTGTCCATGTGTAAGTTGCACTAGAATTCAAGTGGGCCTTGAATATAATACAATCTTGAGTTTTCTTATGAAGAGCTGATGGCTGGAAAAGGAAAGGTTCCTTGTCATTTTTACAGTGTAGGAGTAATCATGTGCGACAGTGATGCTACTATGAAAATCTTTCTACAGAATTCTGATAAAAGCAAGTTACAATCAAGTCCCCTGAAGGGGGGATTCTTCAGAATTTTCTGAAGATCTAGTTGTCAAAAATATTTTATTATTGAATAAATCATCTTGATATTTTAAAAGTAATTGTAAGAATTACAGATATCTCTCCCTCCCTTTTTAGCAAGGATGATTTTTTATATGTGGTTCTAACTATAGAGCAATAAATACAATGTTAAATATTATAATAATTGAAAGTTTTGATTGAGAATGAGTCTGCAGTTTGTTTCTGGCACGAGTCTGGGATAACAGTGTTTTGTGGAAAATAAATCATTTAAACTCACATGCCAGTAAAACTGAGATGTCTCGATAAACTGAGCATAGTTTTTGAACTGTAAGTTGTTGATCATTTCTGGTATACCAAAAGCAGTTGCAAACAAAACTGAAGTTGTTATACTATTTTACGAAACCCACGTTGGCTTGTTCTTGTATTTGATTCAAATCCCTTTTACCTTGTGTCTAAAATTCAGTTCAAACTGTAAACAGGACATTGGTTAGCGAAACCATGAAGCTTCTTCCTACCCTGATGCACATCAAAATGTGTTGACCTTTTGTAAAGAGTAACTTATAAGAAGAATTTTCCACAGGAAATACTTTTTTACTTGATATGTAAAAGTTCACAGCACGAGCTCTGTTTAAAGCTTTGGTAGCACACTATGACTATAAGCGGAAACAATTCAGGAAATTCAACTCAACATTTTATTTCATTTAGAACCTGCTTCATTGTAAATTGCAAGTTGACTTTTACCTAAGCAGGACTTGTATTGCTTTCATTTTGGTTAATATTCACTTGTATAAAAAAAATCCTTTATTCCGTAGCACCTAAATAGACATGTTTCATTTTCTCTTAAAGGGGGGCTCACCTGAAAAATAGCCTGGTGATGAAAATATGTTGTATCTTGGGCTGAAGTGGATAAGTTGGATTCTGTTGAAAAAAAAAAAAAAAAATCTCAAAAATCTTTTAAATAGCTTTGTTTCTATAGTGTATGTACCAGCTAATAACTGAGTTATAACACAACCAGCCAAATAGTATGTTTTATTGAGTTAACGTATCTTCTCCAAGGGTCAGGAAAGAATTTTGATTGTGTCCTCTGCTCTGTTTTATCACTCAACAATTGGGTAATTGTATTTTGCACTTAAATAAAGTAGCAGAAATTAATTAATGGTGGAGACAGGATGCTGAATTAGATGTATCATTGTCTAATGCTGTGAAGCATAGAAATTCTTACGTGCTATTGCTGAAATTAATGCTGGTATTTAGTGT